TTTACGTAGTCGTAGAGCTCAAGTGTCACGTCGACAACATAGCAGCTTAGTGCTGTCGAAATGCTGCCCTATGATTTGTATCATTATATGATAAATAAAAGCTTTTAAAACAAACATTTACTGGTATAATAGGGTCTCCTGTCTTATGTATGTCGCCAGCGGTGACAACGCACTTTCCTTTCTTCTTTTCTCACCTATCTTATTCTACTAATTACATCAAGAAAGGATAAAAGTTTTATATCACAATGATCGTTGCCATTATAAGTTTGAATTACATTTACTTTAAAAAGTATTCGCAAACGACGTACGACAGTACCTTTAAGTTAAACGCGTTGATGTCTTTCGTTCATTGCTTTCGTCATAAATTTTAACAACTCTACATGATACATTTTTAATTTAAATCTATGGTACTGACTGCGAATAGTTAACAAAAAAAATAATATACGTTTCAATTTGATAACTCTGTCTTGAACTACTCCCACGCTACTTACCGTACTTAATAAATGTTAAATTAGCATTGTTAGTGAACTTCCTATTACTTGATTAAAACTTTTACGGATTTTAATCAATGTGTAGTGTTCGCGTAAATATAAGAAATCATTCCTATTACTTTTTAATGTTTAGTGAAATTTCCGCCTAGTTCGCACTACGCTACACTAATATGACAATAACAAAGTAGGTACTGTTCGACGAAGCATGAAAGTGGCTGTCAGCTCAGAATCAGGTAGCTGACAGCGTTGCGGTTCGATTCTCGGAAGACATGACGCTGTTCTATTGACCGTGATGACCGATCGACTTACGCCAGTGATTGATGACCTCTCTATAATTTGATTTTCACTTGTGTGTTATATTTTATTCCCTGAGTGTAGGAGAAGCATGAAGTAAAATAATGTGTTCTATATTTAAAACTGTAATTTCTTAAACATTCAATTTTATAATTCTTATAAATTCATCTATAATGATATATTCTGTGTGTGAATCTGTTATGTACATAACATTTTGATTATACTATGTAGTTCGGTAAAACAAGTAAAGTTCCTGATATCCTATAGTATCCAATTCCATTTAACTGCCAAAGTTTATTATTGAAATAAATATCGAAATTTATTCTGATATAAATCTTTCTACACTATTTTTATTGACAAAAATATGGGATCGTTATAACTTTCAATTATAAATCACTATAACCTAACTATTTGTAGTTTCAATCGAGAAAACTTAAAACGAGCTTAGAACTACAGCCATTCGTGTTTTAAATATACATGTATTCATTTATTTCCGATGTCTGAAGGTAACTCGAATGAAATCAATAAAATCCTCAAAAACGAAATAAAAAATACGGCTTACAAACCCCGCTAAGCTTTCCTACAAAGTAAAAGCACAAAAGAGTAACGAAACAGACTTAGTGTTACGTTAAGGATGAAGGGAGAGAAAAGATCTACCGCCACGTGACACCTGCCGACCGCCAAATGAAGATATCGCAGCTGGATGCTTTAAGACTCCATGAACAGGTATACTCAACCTCCTTTAAAGTAATAGTATTGTCAAATTTACTAATATTAAAATCTTTTGATTTTAAATAAGGATCAAGTTGTAGTGTTAGATGCATATTACAATATTAAATTAACTTAATCACTTTGATTATTTTCAGATTATTTAAAAATAAAAAACAAAGTTCATTACTTCGCTCTAATGCTCGTTGGCATTCTTTCTCGTTTGCAGATTTTTTATTTATTAGAGATACAATATTGTCCTCCATCGCCATGTTAAATAATTTTAAATTGATATTGATAGTCATAAATAAAATAAATTAAATATATTCAAATGAATTTACCAAGACAGTGGTTTTACAAGTAAATAAATTTATTCACAACACATTAAAATATATTATGAATAATACTAATGAATCGCCTGAAATAAGTTGCTGCTAATTTTAAAAGTTTAACTCATTTGATTTTATGGAGGTTAACAAATTTTGATTTTAAGCAGGTAATAAAAATTACATGTGTAAAATTCATACTAACAGTTTGTAATAATAATTGTAATGTCAATAATATTTTATATTGTAAAGTTAGCTTTGTTTGGTCCAAAAGTTTGTTACCTGAGACAAATTAAGACCCAAGTACATACCTACAAACGCTATAATAGTACCTACTAGAACCACGTAGCGTTATTGTGTTTTGAATAAAGTGAACCCACGAACATGCAGACGTTCCACAAATGAGACTGTAAACCCGTTTCTTATACATATAGTTCTTTTATGTATTTGTTTAAAATGCAGATAAGATGTTAATGAAATGGTATGAAATATAGGTATTTATTTCTTTGACGTAAGGAAATAAAATTTAGTTTGTCGCTATTTGTTTGTTTATCACTACTGTTACGAAACCGGAGTAGAAACGGCGAAAGAAACTCTTCAGATTCATCGTCATTTAAAGAAAAGGTATTACATGGTATAGTATAAACAGATTGGAAAACGATAATAGATCCATCGGTAAAAGGTGTGTTCTATGATTTACTCAAATAAAGAACAATTAAAAGTTTGTAGTGTATAGTGAACCCAAATAGACCAACTCTCACAAACATCATTAGTTCACAAGTATGACGCATGTGGCACAGGCTGTCAGGCATTCCATTTTAGTACACAAAGACAAGACGACGCATCAGCAGCCGTCCGTTGGCAGGTGTCCATTAGCTCCAGTAGCTCCTTATGAGCTATGTCGAGTGGCGGTAAGTATAGCCGTGTAGTGGATGCGTAAAGGAATCCATCACCTCATATCGTTACTCGTGGCTGTCGTGAGAGGTGACTATGTTACAAAAATCTTATGATTTCCGATGCATGGCAGTATCCATTTTGTACATATCCGAACCGGTGACGAAAAAAACCGTGAAAGGCGCGGGATGTCTGGTACTACGATCGTAATTCTCTCAGCAATATTAGAGGCCCACGTCCATCAACAGACTTTTATGGGGTGTAATGAAGAAGAGGAATCAGTCTATTCATTACAAATATGCATTATAATAACAAATAGAGATTATCGACTTACTAAGGAAAACAAAGGGAAGCGTTCAAAACGGGAGCTGTCAACTACTGGACAAGTAAAAAAAATTAAGAAAGTGGTCATCGGTCATTGCTCGTGCTGCTATTGAATAAGAGATTTTATCACAAATGTCAGTAAAATGATTTTTGTGTACATTCAGTTGTGTTTATATCTGCAGCCGTATCGTTGGTAGTGTTGGTTTAGTTTACACTACACTGTACAAATATTTATAAAAGAGAGTTAAACAGTCACGTAATCTATATGAAATGTTGTATCTGGTCTTGAATGGATTAAGCTTGTGCAACTTTATGTAACGGGTAAAAAGCTGAAGCTTTGTTTTTATTTAATATTTTTATTTTATGATCTTACCGGAGGTGACTATGACACTCGAAAAAGTGGCTTCAATGGTGATTTACCACGTGCTCGGTAGTGAAAAAAGAACATTTTTTTTACACGTGGTAGAGCCAAGCTGCAGTTATATTGGTAGCATAGTTGTAGCACGAATGGGTCGGCTCGAACGGGGAAGGACTCTCACAGAGTACCAGCATAAAATAGTAGCTTAATAGTTGCTGTGTTTCGTTTGGTGAGTGTAGAGAATCGGAGACTCTTTTTACTAGAAAGAGGCATTCCATTTTAGTCCTCACGGGTGACAACGCATCTGCATTTTGATTTGCAATCGAGGATAGATGTAGATGTCTATGGGCCACAGCAACCACTTACCATCAGGTGGACTGTGTGCTCGTTTGTCACCCTATCCTATAAAAAAACTGAGAAAAACTGCATATTGTAACTTGTGTGTAACATAATTGAGGAAAAAGTTTCTTCGTACTTTGTTTGTATAAAATTTAAAAAAATCTCTTTGGTTGTACTGTTTGTATCTGGCTGAATATAATATAATATAATAGAATAGAATCATTTTTTATTCAATATAGATTACAAGTAATTCTTATTGAAAGTCTACTTTACCACTGGTTCGAAAAAAACCTCTGTCCTGGGAAGAACCAGCAAGAAACCCAGCGGGACTTTTTTAAATATAATACATATAGGATATTAAAAAAACCAAAAATTAAAATTAAAAAACACTTTCCTTCCATATTCAATTGTTTTTTTCCACCAAGTTGAGTGAATCTAAAAAGAAATTCGATTTTATGTAGTTTAATAAGGTGGTGGTGAGTGTATGGTGGGAAGGGCATCGTTTATTATGAACTTTTACCGCCGGGAAAAACCGTCGATTCAGATCTCTACTGTCAACAACTAATGAGACTCAAGCAAGAAATCGAGAATAAATAGTGGTCATTCATCATGGTAACGCCAAACCACAAACTTCTTTGGCCACTGAGCAAAAATTGACAGAGCTTGGTTGGGGTGTGTTAGTACATCCACCATATAGTCTGACGTTGCAACCTCAAATTTTCACCTGTTTCGGTCTCTTCACAGTTCTTTGGGTAGTGTTAGTATGACATCAAGAGAGGACTGTCAAAACTACTTGTTGCATTTTTTTGTTCAAAAATCCCAAGATTTCTGCAGCAACGGGATTCTACCTAAAAGATCGCAACAAGTTATCGAACAAAATGGCACATATATATTTTAATTAAATGTAATTAAACTCTGAAAAAAATAATGGCTTGAATTTATATATAAAGTACGAAGAAACTTTTTCTCCGACGTTTATTTTTATTCATGCAATGTGAGGAATTTGCTCTCATGTCATGCTCACTTTGGTGGCTGCTTGCGATCTTCACCGTTTTGATCTTCGTTGCAAACTAATATGTTAAATTTGTAATATAATATCTGAATTGATCGGTCTACATTTTGTTAAGATAGCCTAAGTAGTGGAAGGCTAATATAACGTTTAATTTTGACATTATATTGTGGAATGAAATTGTATAGCATTTGCTATTGTTATGTAGCAGCCATTGTAATTTATTAAGTATGTCATAATATGAGATTATTTCAAACATGCACAAATTAAAATCTAATCCAGGTACTAAAGTTTAAATCGGTACTCAATTCGTATAGTATTAGACAGTTGATGGAGAGCAACGTCAAATGTTTGGAGTGTCTTATACTGTGATTGTGCTGCCAACCCTCCAGCCAAGCGTATCTACTACGACAAATATCCCCCTATGAGGCAATCTATGGGGGAGGCCCATGTTTTCTTTTTTGCGCCCGAAGCAAATATGGGCAACCCTCCGGAAAGCGGGGAAGGGAGGTTGAGAATGATCATAGCATACCATGCAGCCGGCTGCGTGGTTATGTGGTGACTCTTACCCACTAAACTCAACCTTTTAGGAATTGGCTTAACAATCTGACTAGAGATCTCTAAGCCGTATACGAACGCGACCCTCCTTGGCAGAAGGGAGGCCCATTTTCAGCAGTGGACTTTAATAGGCTGTAACGGTAACGGTATATTTTCATCAGTCGTTTTTTTTTAATGACGTCAAAATGAGTTTGCTTTTTATATGAGGAAAGGTCTAAAAATTAATTGAGATATAAAATCTCAGGTTGTTTGCTTTTTATAGCTTGTCTATAAAGCAATCAAAAGTTCGATAACTTTTTTATTTCAACAGCAGCGAGAATTCTTGTGTTCTGCGGCGTCATCTATATTAAAAAGCAAAAAATAGATTTACGAAAGTTCGTATTGGTCTGGCGATTAATCATAGATTCTGAGATCGTATCGCACTGTGATGTGTGTAAGGGGTTTGTAAAATTATTTATTTTTAATTGATGTGTAGTCCTCGAATACGTGGAGAGGTATTAATTATGCCTGCAATGATAAAGACTTTGAATGTAATTTCATTAATAATATATGTTCAAAAAATCAATCGATGAAGATGCTTTAATACGAATTAAAACGCTTAGATGTTAAATCTAGGCAGTTAATTGAAGTATTTACGTATAGTTGTATAATAAGATTTTCAGATTTTTCTAGATTTTTTACTGGTACTATTTTATTCTAAGCTGCTTGATTTTTACATGATTTTTTTAATAACATATTATGTAAATTTTGTGACGTGTTACATTGGAATATTTGTAATGTTTAAATAAATTTCACTAAATCTTGCCGAAATATTTAAGTAAAATACAAGAGAATTAATGAAATTTTCAAGCGATTAATATGGCGCATATTAATATGAACACTGAAATACCTATGTTTTTGTTACATATAATGTTTCGAATTATAAATGAACCACATCAGAGCAAAAACTGGTAAGAAATGATGAGCGACTCAATATTTGTTTAATAAAAGCGGCACGTGCAATAAATGTTATAAAAACGCTGCGTCATTTTAAATAGTTTGTTTATAACCATGACATCATAACGATCTTCATCTTGACGATGGCAATGGCTCATGTACATTACATATATACTACGTAACTAAAAAGTGAATACGTTAAAAGAATAAGTAACTGAGTAAGTAAAGATTAGGTATCAATGTCGAGATACGATGGATATAGAAAATAATACAAAGTTTTTCGTCATCGTTATCATATTACAAAATCATTCATATTAACATCATTAGTTAAATCAAAACTGTAAGATGTGCCTTTTGTTGGATGATTTTCATTGATGGCCATCCTTGACAATCGCATTACCAGCTGTTGAGTGGTTTTAAAATTGGCCTAAACGGGGTCTATCAAACAGCTATGGTACGAAAACTGTTACTATATGATTAATTTGACTTAATAATTTTTAGTTTAATTTTTTTATAATTTATTCTTTATAATTATCTCGGAAAATTAAACTATATTTTTAAGTATATAAAACTATTACTACGGGTATAACTACGGATTTAAACCCCAGACTTTTGAGATAGGTGAAATTCGAACCATAAAATGTAGGTTTGCCATGTTTGTATATTTTAATTCAAAATCAAAGAAAGGGCACCACTTGAACAAGACGAAATTAAACACAGGAAATAAGAAACGTGAGAATGATTTAAATTTAACAATCCCCCGCACCTTCCTCCCAACTGTCCCCCGCAGGCAGCAGATAATTGAGACGTCAATTTTTTCAAGCCTCGCCTCATATTAGGGTGATCACAATTTCTCACACAAATTTATGGACAGCTAAATGTTTTATATATTCCATAGCCCCCTTAAGTGTAACAAAAGGCTGTCGAATGTACATAGGCTGTAACTTTAGTTATTTATACGTGTTGTAGTAAAATTATAATTAGTTTGGAAAATCCAAAAGTGCACGCCTCATGAGAAAAAAGTTATCAAAAATCAAAATTAAAAATCACATTTTAATTGGATTAAGTGCCACCATCGTTTTATGTAAGAGAAATTAGAAATGTTATTTGTTTTTTACACGTGTATCATAGAAAATTTCAATTAATAATGTTTATCCAAATATTTTTTTACACAAAGTATAAATCAATATAGGTTGTATGGTACATTTGTCCTTTCTCTATTAAGAGCTAAAAAATAAATTGAAAGTGCCTTTAAATTTTTAATAGCAATAAAACTTATAAAACTTGAAAATAATTTTATTAACAAACGACTCATAATAGGCTATATGTATGAAATAGAGAACCAGTTAGCGAGTTAGTAAAACGACCCGGTCTAGATACGTCGATTTTTTTCGGGAGTTATCGTGCCCACATACAAAATCAACATCCGGACATCCACGTAAAAATTTTTTCAAACCGTTTTTATCAGTGTAGCAATATTAAATAATTTTTTTAGAAAATATAAGATGGATCAATTGGTGTTTTTTGATATACGGCCACTTATATTATCGTATAAACGCAATATGGTCGTGATAGAGGCAATTTAAGACCGCAAATTTGCTTGACCTTGACGTTTCGAGAACAACGCACTACCTCAAATGTATCATGTTATGAGGAGGGCAATAATTCTTTTATATTTCTATTATTTATAAATACATCTATCATCATCATCTTTATCTTCACAAGTATACTGCTGAACATAGGCCTCCCGAAAGAATGCCACTAGAGAATTACCCTGAGTCACCTGCACCCATCGACTTCCTGAATGCCATATCAGGTTGTCACTCCATCTAGTAGGGGGTTGCCCTACACTTCGTCTACCGATACGGGTTTGCCACTCGAGAACCTTTCTTTCCCATCGGTTGTTTAAGTATTAAATATTACAGCTATCACAGAAACGATAACGATTCCATTAGTTGTTCCTTAGATTTCATTAAATAGCGTGTGTGAGGCATTGCTTCTAAGTCTTCAAAGGTGTCAATGCATCTATAGTCTTGATGTATAGCGATAAGTGTCATCAATCATCAAGTTACGTTACAAAGAAGGAATTATTTCTTTTTTTATTTACAAATATTTATTTTTTATTTACGCTATTTCACATAGCGTAAATGACTTTTTTATTATCTTTCTTTATTAAAAAAGGTTTTTATCTTACAAGGATATGTCAGCCTTATCGTAATATACCTTGTTCCTATTACACATATAATGTGAATGACTTCTAATGATAGATGTTATGGAATATGCAAAAATAAATAAATAAATAATTATTGTATGACTTTTACGGGGTTAATTTATTTTGTATTAGAGGCTAACTGCTGTATTATATAATAAATAATTAATTTTAATTTCAAGTAACAGTAGAAATCTTAAAATCGAAGTGGACACTATTTAAATTAAAATTTTCAAGTTTTTGTGTCTTGTGTTCAAACACACAAGACAATTGGTGAACCTATTTAAACTGCTTTTTGAATATTTATAACGTGAGCGGTACGTAATTTTATTTCTCGTTATCTCGGAGGCTTTATCTGTATCTCGTTTTTTTAAATCGTTGCTATAAACTTGAATTCCAGCTTGATCTGTTGAACAGAAAAAAGATACAAGGAAAATGATACTACATTGGTTGTTAGAATTTTTAATAGACTAGATTGCATTAGTGTTGTTTTAACAATGCATTTTACTAATATAATTTCAAATAACTGATATAATCATTGCTCGCTTTAGGGATTAACACTCGTTTTTTCACATTAGTAAAATTTATTATTGAATAGATGAAGTTCATATATTTCTCATGATAACATTTTTACAATATCTTTGATAATAAAATAATAAAAACATTATATTTTAATTCGATAGTTGCTATTTAAACTTACTTTAAATTTACTTCCTCCAGCTTACTTTTAGGGACTAAATGCAAAGACGTCAGTTGGCTGAATAATCCTCGTCGCGTTGGCATATAGTGCAATTAGTTCAATTTGGAGATGTGGACATAACTGGCTCAACAGGTTATTTAAATGTATTTTGTGGTCATTATCATATTTGGACACTTTTTTATACTTCAGCAGTTATCCAGCTGTTTTCCGATTTTCAAATATCTCATTTTCCGGTAAAGACTCGCTTTTTTTCTCTGGTAGTCTTTGATAGGCAATACAATAAACGAACAATATATGTAACTGCTACCGAGAACGGGAATAAATCTAATCAATTCTTTGGCATTTGTATGTTCAATGTTATAAACATTTTATGAACCTTATTCTACTAGTCCTGTGTTCTGATAAATCTGAAAGTTGGTATTGACTGCATTGAAAACTCTATTGGGTTGATTGAGAATCTTGCTTAATTCGTTTTCTCAGCATACTGACGTATGCTCTATACATGAGCTCGCTTTTGTCACTCCTTTTAAAGTTCTGATACTAAGTTTAGGGTATTACTTTAAAAAACCCTTCCACTATCCAGTACCGAATATTAAGGAATAGGTTGGGTCGTAGGTTGCCTATGAGAAACTTTTGAACACAATTTAAAATGTTATGTTTACTTTTTGGAAAACCTTTTCGTGCTGAAGTATAATCCAATCTTCGAGAATAGCTTCTTCTTTTAGAGTCAAGGTAGGCGAAGGTACGAGACTCGTTTTGTAGCCTGGGTTATGTTTGTAACATCTGAGGGTAATTCTTAGAGCGCCATATTTTTGGATATCTGGTGATCTGACAAACTTTTTTCATTATTTGTTATTAGACTACAGCTTCTTTGAGATT